AACTATTTTAGCTGTCCAGCTCCCAAGAGCTTTGACATACACCAGAATTTAAAGAACAAGAACCCAAGCTAATCTTTAAACATTGCAGACATGAGGGTGCTAAGTGCAAAAACAGGAAAACGCTAACACAATATACTTTACATGGGAGTACCTAAGATTGCACGCAGGCAAGAGAAGCATGCGCCCGATCGATGCAACCAAAACTCTGCTCACTGCTGTCACTGCAAACAGCCAGGAGCTCTGCTCTGCCACCTGCTTCCCTCTGCTGAGAGCACGTGAAAAAACACACACCGCAGGAATGGCCCATGAGCAGCTTAAGGAGAGATGCCTTCGTGTATAATTCCCAACACCAAACTATTTTGAAACTTTGAGATTTGGTTGTGGGGTTGTTTTTAAATGAATGCACGCAATCAAGAGACACATCCTGCACTCTGCTCCAGCTGTCTGTATGTTTCCTTTGTAAAAGCAAATACAGAGGAAAACGAGAACTTTAACATGGTGTTACCAGAATAGGTATGTGGCACTGCTTCAGTCCAGAAGATGGGATTGAACAAAAATGGCTTTAAACTAAAAGAGGGTAGATTTAGATTAGATAAGGAAAAAATTCTTCCCTGTGAGGGTGGTGAGGCACTGGCACAGGTTGCCCAGAGAAGCTGTGGATGCCCCCTCCCTGGCAGTGTTCAAGGCCAGGTTGGATGGGGCTTTGGGCAGACTGGGCTAGTGGAGGGAGTACCTGCCCGAGCCAGGGGGGTTGGAACTAGATGGGCTTTAAGGTCCCTTCCAATCCAAACCATTCCGTGATTCTACAAATCAAATGCCTGGAAGATCAGAAATTCTAAGAGAAGCACCTCCCCAGGAGCTGAGACAAGTCAAGAGGTTTTCCCTCTCAGCACACTAACTGCACTGCCTCGGGGAGGCATCACAGCATCGGGGAATAAGTCTGTGCGCCTTGGTAGGAACCCGGGACACGGGGCAAACAGGAAGCACAGTGCCCCACTGGTGACACAGAAGGATGAGCCCCTCTCCCAGGTTCCCGTGCCTGCTCCCTGGCAAGCCTGGAGAGACCCGCTCTGCTATTCATCATGGCTGCGTCACAAACAGGGCTCTCGGATCTTCTCAAGAACCATCGTCTGTAAAGCTAGAGATAAACACGGTAAGTAAACACAGTTGTACTGAGACTACTGTCGTGAGGGGAAAGGCTGCTCTGAAGAATGGGTGCAACACTCTTACAGGGACAGGCGATTCAATGCAGCATAGGTAGGAGTGAAATCTACTGAAAAAGGTTCAGAAAACAGAGCACTCTTCAACAGCAGCGTGAAAGAACATCATTAAGGCTGCTTGGGACAAGGTGGAGAAAGAGGTAGAAGGAATGCCATGTATCTTAACTAATTTTTTTTGACTTTCAGGAGTTTTATAATGTTGGATTTTGTTTGTTTGTTTTTTCCCTGTAAGTTTTTTTTTCCAGAAGATACTGCTGGGGAACCTTACCTCTGCGTTAATCCCCTCAGCTCTCCCCGCCAAATCAGACCTCAAACCTGAATTCATCTTTTTACATGCAAGGGAAACATTTCCTGTAAGAGCAAGCAACTTTTTGCAGCTGTATTTCACACAGGCTTGAATCAGAGATGCTTCTCTTTGGATAGCCGTAACTGCATTGGAACCAAAGTGTTCCTCTCACATTGTTAGATTACGTGCAACCGTAATCAGGTTTGTTTGGAGTGCAGACACATAACAGGATCTGCAACCGAAACCAAAGTCGTGGCCTGTGCCGGAGATCTGGACATTTTCATTAAGCGCCATCACAGTAATTCTAAGACAGCGAGTAAAGAACTGAGCGCATCCCTCCGTTTCCATTCCCTGCAGCTCCTGTCTGCTCCTTCTGGGGGGATGTCAGAGTTCTCCAAGCACAGGGAAGGTTCTCCTGGCTGTCAGACATGTTCTGCTACTTTCTGTGGCTCCACACGAGCAGCACCTGACCAAGGGACATACAGTTACCTTGGTTGATAGCCAAAACCACACACCAAATTCCTCCCACTACCTCCTGCACCTGCCTGGATTTCAGAGTACTGTTAGCCAAGTTTGATGAAGCAACATCCTTTCTTCCAGCTGCCCAGCCACAGAATGAACGGGATCAGGAAACTGATCTGGGTTAAAAATACTCTTCTTTTGCTGGTTCCCCACACAGCTCAGAAGTAGCCGTACCAACAGAACCCACGGGGCAGCACAGAGTTTGCATAAGTGAGAACTGCTTCCAAAAAACTTATTATTAGAGGTGTGAAGCGTTGTGCATGCTCCAAGGAGATCTTACCAGCTGATTAAGCACATTAGAAAAATGAAAGGCAGAGAAAGACACTCAGAATGTCCTGTTCACTGGAAGAGGTTCTTGTGTTCTTTAACACAAGAAGTGCAACAGTCTCCACTTCATGATCATTCCATAGAGTACAATGATGCAACTAAAAACCAGATTTGTCTAAAATTATTTAGCAGCTTTTAGAGAGATTATCACCTAGAAATCAGGAGGAGAGGGATGATGAAGGGTAGCCTGTTTCCATGACTCCCTGGGAGAGCAAATCAAGACTTGGAAAGAATTGATATTTAAAATTTCAATTGCCACTGCTGGCTTGCAAAAGTCCCAGAAGAAAATGGGGCACTGTGTGTAAGTACACTTGTTTTGAATACTCATCAGAAAAGTTTAACATCCTTTGCTCTTACAAGAACAAGAAAAGCAGAAACATTCAGTTTCTCTTCCCTAAAGACAGTCCCAGTTACATTTACAGCTTCAGACTTCAGTTCCCCCCCCCCCTTTTTTTTTTTCCAGCAAGGGGTTTAATCTTTTCTAATCTGGTCTAACTGTTAAGCAGAAATTCTCCCACCTGACAATCAGCTGTTTCCCCAAGACCCCCTCCTGCAGCACCCAGCCCACGTGCCAGCACGCCAGCTGACGGCTTGCCTTCCTCAGGCAAAGCAGCCAGACACATCACTGCTGTGAGGGGAACACGGCGACCACCGTCCTTTTGAATGTGTTACTGTTGTCACGGACACAGTTAAGACAGCAAAATTGCATTGTGTTTTCTTGGAAAATAAAATAAAAAATGGGAGGCTGTGGCTAGAGCCGCAGGGAGCAGCTAACGCTCAGAAAGAAGCGAGACCAACGTGATTCTGAGCTTGCGGGTCAAAGTCCAGAAATGCTTTGGTTTAGGCTTGCACTAAACTGCAAGCAGGCATTTCCCGTTAACTCACTAAACCTCAGCGCCACTGACCCACGTACCATGGTGGGGGCAGACTGTTTCTGTGCAGGTTGCCTCACCCGTCCGGCCCCTGTCAGCCACCCTGCCTCAGGATGCTCTCCAGACTAAAATTTCTCAAATTGGAGGCCTTCCAGCCA